TTGTGCAGTTGGTCATGCGGCATCTGGCTGCCTAATCACCACAGCATGGGTTGGCCTCTAAGTGGTTTTAAGAAAGAAGACAGGGTATAAAAGTTTTATCTGGAAAGCTGAAAAATGATCCCATTAGAAGAACATGGAGAAAAAAAAAAAAAGAAGAAGAACATAGAGAGTTCAATGAGTGATGTTGGGTGGAAATTTGAAATCTGAGATCAGAGACTGATAAAATCTTTCTCCAGTGAAATTTCTCAACTGAAGTTCAATCATAAAAAAGGCAAATGAGGGACCAGCAGTTAGCGTAATGGCTATGTCGCTGGACTCCCACGTAGTCGACCGCGGTTCGCATCCCGGACCTGGTGGCTTAAAACTCACACTGGGCGCGTGTGCATGCGTGCCCAAGATCCCGAGAGGAGAATGGAAGAGAAGGGATTGTGGCGTGGCCATCCCCCCCTGGGGGGGGGTGATTTCTCGCTTTCTGTCTCTCTCTGTCTGGCGAGCACATGAACCCTATAGTGAAAAACCTCTCCGAAAAAAAAAAAAGGCAAATGATAGGTTATGCAAGTTAACTATGCAGGAAGAAGAGAAGGGCAGGAGACTGAAGAATATTTGCAATGGAATAATTATAATGATAAACAAAGATGGTGGGCTGACAAGGATTTTTAATAATGAATCTTAGAGTGGATTATTAACAGGTATGGGTCAGGGGTTGAAGTCTTGTTTTTGAAGAATTATGACAACTGAGATACTTAGATAAATGTGTTAGAAAAATAAATGGTGGTTATGGGAAAATGGCATACTTAATTTTAAATTTAATTATTTAATTACCAAAATTTCAGAAGTGGCATATTTTTCCAGAGTTAAAAAGACACAAGGTGGAAGTGATTGGACAAAAGAATTGAAAAGAAATTTGAAAATGAAAAGACCAAATAACCAAACATCCTCCATTTCATGTTTAAAATATGGATGCTAAAGTCACAAAGAAATGCACAACATTTAGGAATCTATATTTTTGTATAAAATGTCTTAGTAAGTATTTAAATAGACAACAGAAACAAGAAAATAGAGGCGAGAAACAGGTCAGTAATGTGAGTCTGAAGAGCCACCCATTGAAGCCATTCACAGGAAGGTGACTGAAGAACTGATTAAAGAACTGGCAGTGGAAACAGAAATCAAAGACACCAACTCCATTCTCTTAAACCTCATTAAATCAGTGTGAGAAATAACAGCTTTCTCTGGAGAGCGACAACAGAGAGCTGACAGAACAAAGGAACAGGTAGTTTTTTAATAAGGCAAAAATATAAAGGAATATTTCTAGAAGAAATGTAACACATGGGTAGTTTTCTGACGAAGCACAGAGAAATAGGTTGGGTGTAGGAGGATCAAATTAAGGACTGGGCTGAAGAGTGTGGGAGTGAGAGTTATTGTGAAAATGAGAGGTCTTGTCATCGAATTTCTAGCTATGGCTGAGCTAATCAAGGATGTAACATATGATAGCATGATCCATCTCTTGGAGAGAGAAGGGAATCCAAAATTATTAATCTGGTACAAAAACATTACTCTTAGTGGTGCAGAAGCTCATTAGACAGGTGTTCCAGAAGGATTGGACAAACATAATGAAGCACAGGCTATAGCCACCCGAGGCCAGGGTGGTGTGACAACACTCACGGGCTGGTCACGGCTTCCCAGTATTTTCTACCCTATGATGGCCCATGAACTCCCAAGCATTTTTCACCACCTTCCTAAGGTCCCACATTCTTGGAAGAAACTCCTCTCACACCTCCAGACCACAGTGTTTGAACTCCTGTGGTGTTTCTTGTCTGCGCCATTCTTACTACTCAACTACATCTCAACTTATTATTTCATACATATGCAATTGATTGTTTCAAGGATTTAGTATGCTCATAAAACACAGGTACTATGTTAGGTAAAGGACATACGCATCTGAAATCACAAATTCAGGCTCATCAATACCAAATGTGATAGTTCATACAACCAAATTCAGTTTTTACCCATTCCTTTTAATGGAAGAAATTTAATGTGATCAATTCCAGATATATTCAGACATATATGGGTTCTCTTAAAAACATACAAATTGTATCTATAAGTTATGTTCACCAATATGGAAATATTAGGTTTAGGAGTTACACTCTAAACCTGAAAGCATAAATTTAAAACAAATTAATCATCCCCTCATGAAACAAATAATGAAACACTTCATCTCAGAAAGATACTCAGGAAATCCATTCTACAGATATTCAGTATCTGCTTTTGATCCTGAAGTCCACATTGGACACAATAGGAGACAAGACAAATAAAAATTGACAAGACAGAGTTGTTTGTTCCAGAAAACATTTAACATTTTAAGGTAAAGTATTTCCTGCATCTAGATAGTTTTGTTTATGTGTTTATAGCTATGCTGTATTTATAAAATACTAGTATACAATATTTAGAGGAGAAAGGAGGAAATTTTAAAAAGAGGGATGAAGGAATTTGAATCAATTCTTCTACTTATGAAGATAATGTCAAGAAAGAACCCTCCTGCACTTCTGTATAATCACAACAGCTGTCATTAGCTAGTGGCCAGCCTCAGAATAAATAGATCAAGAATGGTAGACCTTAGGATCTTATATTCTTTTTCTTTTCTTTCTTTCTTTTTTTCTTTTTTTAAGAAAATTATTTGCTGATAACATGTATGTTGATGTGCTTGATTGAGCCAATACACAATGTATTTTGGATGGAAAATTCATCTGTATGCTGTAATGATGTATAGTGAATTAATGTAAAAAACAAATAAATTTAAACAGAGAGAGAAAAAAAAAAAGAAAGACTTTTGCTATAGGGTGTGTGTAGTAACTGGAGAGAAAGAAAGACAGACAGCAAGAAATCGACCCCTAGGGGGGATGGCCATGCTGCAATCTCTTCTCCTCTATTCTCCTCTTGGGATCTGGGGCATGCACAGACATGTGCCTAGTGTGAGTTTCAAGACACCAAGTCCAGGACTTGAACCGCGGTCAGCCATGTGGGAGTCCATGCCATCTGCCGGTCTCAGCTCTTATATTCTAAAGTCATATATTTTCATTAATAATGAGACTAACCAGGAAACAGCAGATGGCATAAAGGTTACGCTGCAGACTCCCACATAGTAGACCGTGGTTTAAGTCCTGGACCCAGAGGCTTAAACTCCTATCAGGCATATGTGTGTACATGTCCAAGATCCCAAGAGGAGAATGGAGAAAAAGTGATTGTGGTATGGCCATTCCCTAGGGAAGAGATTTCGGGAAGAGATTTCTCACCTTCTGTCTCTCTGTCTTTCTCTGTCTTTCTAGAGAGCAAAAATCTCTCTATAAAGAAAAAAAAATAATAATGAGATAAACTATTCTTCACATAGCCCTAAGTCAGTGTGTGACTAAACTGCTTGAACTGCTTTTGAGTAGTTATCACATTTTTCCCCAATAAATCACTATTTTCATATTATCAATGAACTTTTAATTTAATATATATATTAAAAAATATATATATACACACACACACACACACTCATATATATAAATGTTTGTATCTGCTGGTTTATATTTCTAAACATTTTTTTTAAATCCAAAGCCAAAAATATTTCTATAGTTCTTCTGTTCTTTAACATGGAAAAATCATTCTCCCTATCAGGTGTATAAACAATTTTTCATAACTTGAATATAACAAATATTCAGAAGTAGAGAAAAAAGTGTTTATTATGTGTTTTTTATAATTTATTTCTAAAGAACATAGCAATGACAAAACAAAATTATAACACTTTCATTAACATTAGAATATTCTATGAGGGCTGGGAGGTGGCATGGTGGTTAAGGTGCTAAACTCCCCCATTGCTGATGGTGGTTCAAATCCCAGACCTGGCAACGTGCTTTATCACTTTCCCTTTCTCTCTCTCTCTCTCATCAAATTTAGAAAATAACAATAATAAATAAAAGTAAATAAATAACTCTTTAAAAAGAATATTCTATAAAAGACTTGTTCTTTGGCTTGAATATGTCATTTTGAGATTAATTATGTATTTTAATGAACATTGACAGAAACTAATAGACCATGGAAAAAAAAACTGTAAGTGTCATGAAGAGTAATAGGTACCAAAACAAGCAAGTCACAAAGGCTGCCTTATTTAATTAAAGTTCAAATAAGTTGTGTACACATACTACAAATTTAAGCTGTCCCTAGATAATACTAACTTGTTGAACCAAATCTTACATAGTTGATTTTTCTTAGGAAATCTATCATTACTGCAGTTTGTAGTCAGTATTGTATGATTTTGTACTCTTTTCTCTCTTAGTAAGTGATCCAAGATGTTGGTAATATTACTGCCTAAAAATTAATTTATAAGTGGTTAAAGATCATATGTAATCATATGTCATTACACTAACTGCTGGCCCCGCTACTGGTTCATGTAAGACACACTCATAAAATCTCAGCTGAATTTTCTTCTTCAGGAAAGTACCATGGTTGTTCAAGATGTGGTCACTGTTATCTCAGAATATCTGCATTCTGGGGACGAGCAGTTACAGTAATGGCTAAGTCGCTGGACTCCCATGTAGTCAACCGTGGTTCAAGTCCTGAACCTGGCGGCTTAAACTCATGCCAGGCGTGTGTGCATGCCCAAGATTCCAAGAGGAGAATGGAGGAGAAGGAATTGCGGCATGGCCATCCCCACTGGGGAGGTGATTTCTCACTTTCTGTCTCTCTGTCTCTCTCTTTCTGGCGAGTGCACGCACCCTATAGCAAAAACCTCTCCAATTAAAGAAAAAAAAAAGAATATCTGCATTCTGGATCTTCTCAAACTGCTTATTTGGGTAGGGAGAATTGTTACCAACTAAGGTCTAAGGGAGGACAAAGGAAGAAGAAAAACAAACTTCAAGTTAATACAAAACCACTTAGAGGCAGAGAGAACGTTATTAGGCTATGCTAAGCTTAACTCTAAATTTTAGAATACTGTGGGATCAGCCAGGCAGAGTACTCACACACAAATCAACACCATAGATGGCTGGTTCAGTAAAACTTCTTCAAATCTTAGTTGCAAATCTTTCCCTTCTGTTGAGATGATCCAAAGCTTTGGTCCCGGACAGTTGACGAGTGCCTGTTTTTCATCACAGAACTTCTTGCAACAGGGTTTGGGCTGAAATGTTAGGG